TAATATGTCAAATACAAATAATTATTCCAATAGTGAGTAAATGTTATAAAAAAATGAACTCAAGAGAAGCAGAATTTATATATAATTGCATTATCTAGCTTACTATGTGCCAACAACTCTCTGTGTGTTTGCTTTTTCTTGAGTCTCGTTTCCTCCAAAGCTTATAGCCATGCCAAAGTATGATATCTTAGGTTTCTTGTCCAAATCAAGTAAAACATTGTTAGCTTAAATTCATCAAGTCCTTGGCGTGAAGTCTTAGATAGAAGCTTAACTGCAATCTACAATCCTTCTAGCGGACCCTAAAGATCATTATTGGCCATGTAGCAGGATCAACCTGCCAAAATTGGATAAGTTAAGAATATGCAACAAGATTGATGAAAAGACATAAATGCCCCTACCAACAAGATTGAAGAAGCTCTGAAACGTTTCCTATTTCCGTTGTGTCTTTTCCTATTTCCTTAGTTTGTATACATTGTTGTAAGCAAGTGTGTATTGAAGTCCCCGAGTTTGCATACATAAACCTTAAAATCTGAAATACAACAAATGAAGGAAGGTGGTGCTAATATGTTTGTTGTTGTTAATGCTCTAAAGGTAAGTTTTTATCATGCCTATTGAAAAATAAATAAACCATACATTGTATGTTACTTGACATAGAAGCACTAGGATTACATTATAGTGAGCAATAATAACATTGTCCCAAATATAAAACAAAAACAAAAATTAATATTTTTTGAAGCTTACTCACTTTGGGCCAAAAGAATTTGGTGTCCAAGCTCTAAGTATGTCTATTGTTTTGCAATTCCTGCAATATTTGATCAACATCAATCCTCTGTATTATTAACATGAACGTATCAGTATGCATCTCATCTGATGATGTAACACATTTCATATATTTGTGTCAACAAACATTGATCAAACAGCCACTCATATATGATAACATATCAATATATGATAATATGATATGATATGATGCCGACTCACTTTTACCTTTTACCTTTTACCGATTACCATACTAAAACTCATACACCCCACCCATGCAAACCTGTAAACAGCCGAGTTCACCACCAACGGGTACCCAAATACCGGAAATACCCCTCGTGCCAACACGTAAGGGAAACACAGAGTTGTTAGCAGCTTCATCACAATCTCCTGCAGCATCCAAACTCCCTACAACCGAGAGAACCCGTTTTCTCCCACCCTCTCGAATTTCACCCGCCAGTTGTCGTCCACCAGTGGCGCCATCTGGTCCAGCATCACCAACTGTGTCCAAGTTTTTTTCTTTAAAACAGCACTTAAGAAGAAATTTTGTGTCTTTTATCTTTATTTTTTTCTTTTCCCCAAAATTTTAATTTCATCAGGTTCATCCATAGCTTGTTGGTCCTTACTATGTGAAGAAGTCGCTCTTAATCCAGTTATGCAATTTGATGCACAGGTTACTTGGTTGAGACTGTTAAAGACTTGTAACTTGGCCAGAAACCAGTGGTCAATACAGTTACAGTCAAGTCAATCCTAGGATTGGTTTTCTTTAGCTAATGTTAAATCTGTTACCTGAAAAATTATATAAAATATAAAATATATAATATAATATATATATATATATAAAAAGAATAGGAATTTGACACTTAATTACCATTCCCTCCATCTTTGAAGTAAACTGACCACCACACTGCTGTTTCAGCTTTGTGAGGATACTCCTTTCATGTTCATCATTGGCACTTTTGTCAAATAGCAGCCTCCGAGCAAGTTTTTTCCTAAAATTACAATCATAATAAAATAAATAACTGCAAAAATTGTTTATATGTAAAATAAGTCATTTATTTACCAATAGAATTCAGCAAACAGATCTTTATTGCTAATGTAAGCAAGCAGCTTAACTACCTGTAAATGTAAATAAATATTAAACAGTAAATAAATTTCTGGTATTATCAAATAGAAACATGCCTTCTCAAGTGTGTCTTCAATGGCTTCATCGCTTAATTTCTCACTTCCACCTTTTTTAAGAATATTATCACAAAATGTGGCCAGTAATTCTGCACTTGAACTTCCGGAAATGCCCTTGTTGTAGAATATTTCAAATGCTTCTTTAAGCGCCTAGAGAGTAACAATATAAGGGATAAAATAGTAAATAACAAGTTATAATTCAGTGAATTAATAATGCAAATGTACAAACCTTATGAAATAGGGTGTGGTTCATAAAACAGTCATTTACATAAGCCATGTACTTGTCATGCAGCTCAATCACTTTTCTAACAAAAACCTGGAAACCAGACCACAATCAATTGTATTATTATTATTAAAATGTTAATTCTTTTTAAAAAAAATTGAGAAAGTTCAAATTTATAAAAATTTACCTGTTCCTGCCTTCTTATTACTTGCAGCATCTTCTGCCTGTTTCACCAAGGCTGTGCCTTCAGCATCAACATGTTGCATTGCGTCAAAAATATAAAAAAAGATGACAACAAATACAGATAAATGCATTGTACTTTAAAAAAAATAGAATCCAACTCCTAAATCACAAACCTGTTTAAACATACTAGAGACAGGATCCAATACATGGGGTATTTTGGAAAATAGTCTGAACATTCTTGACAAATCATCAACCTGCAAGTGAAGGGTAGAAAGGGAAGAAACAAATGTTCACAACCAGTAAGAAATCTAAACACTAGAAGTTTCACAGTGATTGTTTATGACGTATGAATTACAATTTTGGTCCCTGTGGTATATCGAAATAGCACAGGGACCAAAACTGTAATTTACTCTTATGTAATAGTAGTACAACAACATACCTTGTCATCCTTAAGTAATGCATGACAACCAGAGTGTTCCTTTTCAAGCAATTGGGTTGCATACATGGATAGCAACTCATTTTGAAATTTCTAAACACAAATGTCAATAACAGTAAGTATAAAAAAATTAAGTCACAAATTTAAATAGTGAAAAAGCAAACCTCAAGAAGCTTTGTTTCACTACTAAAATGGAGATAGTGAGAAACTCTATCGTTCTCCCTTTTTAAGTACTTTTCTGCCTGATATTCCAAAAAGGGCGATTAAAATTTATAATGAAATTTTTCAAAACTAAAGAGGTGTAGAAATTTACTTTGAGCATATAATCTGGACAAGAATCTTCTAGAATCCAGCTTGAAGCTTTACGTGAATAATATGCTGCTGTATCTTTAAGCATGAATGCTTCAAAGTCATTCTCATAATATTCCATATCCCCCATTCCTATTTCAACAAATATATCCAACACATTCTTTAATAAACCTCGGTCAATCTGCTCCCCTTCACGCTCTTGATCAATCTGGTTTTTGAACAAATAATTACTTATTGACTTATTTCCACAGAATATATATATATATATATATATATATATATATTTGTAAGAGAAAAAAACAACATACCAGAGATATTACAGCATCCCTCACTTTCCCATGCAACTCTTGATATACCTAACAAAATATGCCCTAAGTCATTAAAGAATAAAGAAAGACATTTATAATTAGTTAATATAAAAAAACATTTTTTTGTATGATTTATAGATGAAGAAGTACCAGATCACGAAAACAGGTAATGCCAACTTCTTTTAGAGTTGGAAGAGATCTTCGAGTGATGAAATAACGATCAAGATAATGGAAGAATCTTGAAACCCATCTCACCATGACTTTATGATTTGACCATGTTCTAACAAGCTCTCTGAGCATGAATTCACCATGTTTCTCTCTCAAAGAAGGTAAAACCTGAAGCAGAGACATTGATCTTAGATCCACTCAACCTCTTTTCCAGATCTATGAGTTCTTTTCTAGAAGCCAGGGCAGCCAGCTTAATACCCAAATACATCGGTATCATATCCAATACAGGAGATATAATCTGTTATAGGAAAAGGGTATCTTAAAATACACATAATAAAGATATATGTAGCCTTTAATAAAATTGAAGTAGACATCTAACCTTTATGTTCATAATAAGAAATCAATTGAACTTGGGAATTAGGAGAAAGAACAAAAGAACACAAACCTTTGCATAACAGTTAAGCTACATAACATATGGAATATTCCATGAGCATGAAAAATTCCCAACATAATCAAACCCTAACTTACAGAACCATGAAATCAAAAATAATAGAGATGCAAAATGAGTAAATTCAAAATAAGTTGAAGGAATTCCAGTTAGCAATGGAGTAAATCGTACATGTAGATGACGTTATTTAGATATGTAGAGAAGAAGAGAGGCAAGTCATGGCGTGTGAACAGATAAGCCGATATTAACATAGAATCTTCGAGAGGACTACTCGGTGGAGAAAACCTAACACGATCGATGGAGATTTTTGTGAGGAGTGATAAAGATGGAATCGGGGAAAAGCTGGAAGAGATAGACCAGGGATTATCGTGAAAGTCAACCGTTAAATCTCCCATCCTTTTGCTTGAATTTGAAACCTAAATCGTGTTTGAACTGGGTGATATGGAAATGTTCAGACAAAATATGGAGAACAAAGGCAAAAGAGAACGAGACAGGGTTTTCAAAAAATTTGGGAATTTGCTTTTTCCCCTTGCTACTACCGAGTACAACACCAAATCATTAGGGAGTCGTAGTCACATGCGAGGAAAGGTGAGGTCGAGGTCACCGGCGAGGTGAGGTGAGACACAGGTTTCCGGCGAGGTTAAGCGAGGTTGATCAGGTCGTCGATTGCAAAGCTCTCATGTGGAATGGAAATTGGGTTTGAATGATCATGAGTTCTGAGTGGTCTACAAAAAAAAGCCCTAGAATTAATAGTACCAGCGATTTTGTGATAAAAACGCGCGTTTGGTAAAAATTATAAAGCGAAATGTGTAGAGGACACACATTTGAGATAAAGCGCCCTCCGTGTTTGTAATTTTTTTTGATGGACACTAATTTTAGAGCACGCATAAATGCGTGTCCTCTATCCTTAAAATTTTGGAAAACTGAAACTAATTTTTAGGGCGCGCACAAATGCGTGTCCTCTATCAGCGTGTGTCATAGTTTGCACGTCATTAAAGGGTTGTTTTCTAGTAGTGGGAGCACCTCAATTAGAGAGGTTCAGGTCCGGTGAATTTATTGGAGGGTCTCGGGTGGAGACCCAAGAGTTTGGATCAGCTTGTGAGAGGCCGGCAAGGTCGGATCCAGTGCAACACTTGTAGAAACTGTGCAATGAAGTTTCGTTCCAAGGGTTTGGATTGTCATTGGGATCGGAATGAGGTGTTACATTATGTTCTTAGGGTGGTCGAGGTATCACAGGAGGAGGTGGTCAGGATTCCTTCAGATGTTTGCGGATATGCTATCTTCGGCCATTTCCGGTGGATATCGGGTATTTGTATTGCTTGGGAATTGTGATAAGTTGGATATCGGGTCGGTTTTTTTGCTATTGTCTGGGTTAGCAAGGGTTGTCAGATTCCATTCAGCATGTCGAGGAATCTTTGAGAGATCTTCAGACGGATGTATCTTGCGGTGCGGATTCCGCGTGTACCGTGATTGCTCTGAGTCGTTGTCGGGATCTGTTCAGTGATCTGGGTTGCTACGGGTGTAGCAGGTTGGCCACATCTTCTAGGATTGCCCATAGGGAGTAAGCCTGTTATATTTTTGTTGTGTTCAGGTGGACGACAAGGAGGTTGACTGTCTGACGTTTAGGAAGGAGTAGTGAGTGCACTTGCACCAGTCATTTTCGGGGCTGGTCCAAGGGCTCGAACGAGGGAGTTATGACTAGTTTTCAGTAGCCTTAGTATTTATGTTTGGAAGAGCCATCGGGATTGCCGAGGGAAGAGAGAGTTGCCGCTGAGGTCTTGGTTAGACTATCCGTTCGTTGGACTCCGAGGTCTGAGCGTGATATCGCTTTTAAGCGTTTGAAGTCATTGATGTTGTTGGGATACAAGAAGTGTTAGCTGAATTTCAGGAAGTGTGCTGTTTGGACAGGGATATTTTTGGTGTGCTAGCTTTGGTAAGTGCCGGCCGTCAGCAAGGTGAACATTGGAACGTAATGAGGATTGGGAATCCTTCAATTTTCTTGTGCCGAGCAGACATAGTTGAATCTTAGTGGGGGAGAACCGTCCAGTTATCTAGGTCAGAAGCAAGGGTGAAAGTGATGTAAGACTACGGGGGAGCCGTAGCATTCACTAATGGTCAGTTAGGGTATAGTGTTGTAAGACTGCAGGGGAGCCGTAGCATTCACTAGCAGTGGAGAGTGTTGTAAGACTGCGGGGGTGTCGTAGCGTTCATGGATTCTTTCAGATGATACGGTCTAGGGTAGGCTAGTTCGCAAGGTTGTAGGGGAGCCACAGCTTAGTCAGCATCAGGACCAGGGGTGATTGCCCGATCAGTTATCCGGGGGCGAGCCCGGATGGTTATGGGAATTCAGGATGGAACCGGTAGAGACTGCTGAGTCAGGGGTTGGATCTTGAATACAGGATCATGTAGATGATTAGTGCATGTCTCAGTAGGGCTACGGTTGGGTAGCCCTGATTTTGGATCTCATAAGAACATGGTGGTTGGACCGGGTGCGAGACTGGTAGTCTCGGGGAATCAGCTAGGGTATTTATTAATCGGTCAAGTAAAGGATGACGGGAAGTCATGGTACATTATAGAAATGCCGATTCGAGGATCTCTGGATAGGAGCAGAGTAACAATTCGGATTTGGATAGGGACCCGAATTGGAATTCGTGCAGGATTTTCTTTCAGTGAGATGGGATGTGGGGCATCTATATGCTAAGGGAATCGAGGGCAGAATTTTAGGGTGATTAACGGGTTGGTTTGATGGTAGTTTAATCCATTGTGATGTGTCTCGTGTGGCTCTATCCGTAATGGAGCCACGACATGTCGGAATCAGGAAACGGAAGGTCGAAGGAGACCGCGTATGATGTAAGACTATAGTCATTCTGGTCGTATTCACCTTTTTGCGTCGGATTAAGTGGTGACAGGTTATCAGCCTAAAGGAGATAGGGCAGTTATGGTTAGACGAGGTATCCTTTGAAGGTCGCAGGGGACTGTCACGTGTGTTTTTGGCTCAACAATCGGGTAGGTGTCTGGTGTTCCGGACATTTGGTAGACAGTTTGGGACGAGGAAGGCCCCCTGTTGGCCTTCAGGAAAGCATCCATGTGGCAGCAAGAGGAGTAGGAACGAGTTCAGTGATTTGGGGTCTGTGTGTAGGATTGCTGGTTATTCGGTAGTCGCAGTTGATCGGTGATTTTGTTCTTTAGGAATCCTCAAGGTATTACGAGTGGGAAGTATTCTATCTTGACTAGTTTCGTGTGAAATCAGTTTGATGATGATTCGATGTGTGCAATCTATCAGGGAGACAGACCATCTCGAGACCTTAGATTTTAGATGGAGCAGATGTGATGAGGTTGCAAGGAATTCGTTCATCTCGAAGTTCTAGAACGCTATGAGGATGGATTTCAGTTGCCTTGGGTAGGCTGCAGTATTCACGGGTTTGTGGAGGTGTTGATCAGGTTGTCTGGTATGTCAGGGATGGTGATGCATGATTTCGAGGACAGAATCTAATTTAAGTGGGGGAGAGTTGTAACGCTTTGTTCCGAATTGACTCCTAGTTTGAGGCTGTGGCTCGAAGGTCGGTCATTGTCAGGATTATGGCTCTTGGGAAGGTAACATCTAGGCCCATTTGGGTGCGGGTGATGTAGTAGAAGTGATTCGGGTGTTCGGTTTGTGTTCTGGAAGCCTAGTGGTATTTCGGTAAAGTGGCAGTTTGGGTTTTGTGGAAAATGGATTTTTTTTCGGAAGGTCTCAAGAAAGTTTTGAGTTGTTATAAGTTTAGGGATTCTCGTCACCTTTCCGTGGATATAAGGATCGTCGAAATTGGGCTTATAACGAGGAAGTTATGGCCTTCAGAAGTTTCGTGGTTTTCAGGCTTAGCAGAGTACACGGGGCGTACACAAAGTGTACGCGGGGCGTACTAGCGAAGAAGGTAGTACGTTGGGCGTACCTTGGAGTACGTTGGGCGTACTGACTAGGAGGGCCGCGAATGTTCCCCGGAGTATGTTGGGTGTACTCCATTCAGATCAAAAGCCTATTTTAGGGTCTTGGACCCTATTAAAACTCCTTATCTCATAACCTAACCCTAATATCTTCAACCTCTACCCCTCTAAACCCTATAAATCGTCATATATCATCCATGGTGGCATTTTGAGCTTATGGAGTCCATTTTTGGGGTGTTTGATCCATTTTCAAGAAGAAGGAGTTTGATGCAAAGATGGGAATCAAGAAGGAGCTTATGGATCTGGCTTTTAGGACTCATTGTCAGCTTGATGAAGGTATAAAGCTTTGAACTTGATCATTCATCTCTTAGATCTACCATTTTTTTGGTTTTAGTTCCTTTTTGGTCCTAAGGATGAAGCTTTATGGTTCAAATTCGGTTCTTAGACTTGGGGTTGCCACCCTTGATGCTATTTGAGTCCCTAAGACAGAAAGTTCCCATCTTGAAGGTCTTAATGGGTTCAAGCATAAGTTAGGGTCACTTTTATGGAAGTATAATGCCATTTTTGGAGTTTGGGTTTGTTTTGGGCATGCAAAGTCACCAAGTCAGTGACTTTATCGGTTTAGACGTTAAGTATAGCTCAGATCTGTGTTTTGGACTTGTTGGATTAAGTATTAAGCACTTAATGGAACTTTGTGCATGAGTTGTTTGTATGTTGGGCGTACTATGTAGTACGCTGCGCGTACAACCAATTTGCCCAGTACGCTAAGCGTACATAAGAGGTAAGGTGGGTGTACTCTCTTAGGAGGATTTAGACCTTAGTGGACTTCGGACCTTTGGGCCCTAATGGTTTTAGGCCTGGATTTGCTGATTATTAGGCATGAATGTTTCTTTGGGCCAATATTGGAATAGTTGGGCCTATTGGACCTCGTGGCCCAATATAGATATGGACTTCACATTTGTGGGCCTCGGTTTGGGCCAATTCTTTGATTAGGTTGTTGTGGGTTGTGACAACTGTCAATTCATGTCATTCTCGGACTCATGCATCTTTATAATAACCATTCATGCACATCATGCCATGGCCTGGTAGTATAAATTAGGTCAAAATCTTACATAAACTAGGATCCATCTAAGACCTAGGACTAATATACTTGA